CCCCAAAACCCCAAAACCCCAAAACCCCTAATAGGAGATGCCTAGTTGAGAGTATTTTATTCTTAATATTCTTATTTAGAGACTCTTGATTTTTATTAAGTTTTTATGCCTTTTCATCACTCTCTTCTCCAGAAGTGAAGAGTCGTTATGGGCTAAGGTAGATGGGTGTTTAAAAAGTCAAGGAAAATTTAGGGCAAGAATCTCATATGATAACTAGAGTTGCTATAATTATTAATCTCGAGCTTTCTCTGCTCTCAATCTGCATCGTTCATCGAAGGTTTGCTAAATCAGTATGGTTTATTCAATTATTTTTAGTAATATTTCCAGAAATTAATATGGCTGATGGGTTTTTCTTAATCTACTCTTTTTGACTTTGAGAGGTCATAATTTTATTATAGCTTATTGTAAAAAGCAATAGGTTTGCTAATCCCTATACCTTACTCTTTCCAAAGTTAGGAATCCATGCTAATGCAGTTAAATCTGAAAATTTCTGACTGGCAATTAATTATTTCACAAAGGAGAGCTTTCTTTGCTTAACACCGCTCAGAAGCCCATTAGGTATAGTCAAATCTAACTAAAAGAAGCCAAATACCTTCCTATTATCCTCAATAACTAATTAGGTTTTTCTGCATCACAGAAATGTTAATTTATCATAAATTTTAGCAATCTCTGCTTTATTGCTCCATGTACCTCATTTCTACCGTTAACCTAGGAGCAACTTCTTGCAATATTATTAAAAAGATTATTCCTTTGATGGAACATTTGATATTGGGCATCATGGCTATAAAACCTTGTTGTAAAAACCTTCTGTTTAATATTTAAGCAGAAGCTTTATTACTTCTTTACAATTTTAATAGTCATGAAGGATATGGAGGACACAACACTGGCTAGAGATAAGAGTAGAGACAACCAAACTCTTCTGAAGTCATTTTATCAGAGCAGTCTAGATTCTATTTCCTAGATTTCTCAGCAACCAACACTTTGAACTAGCCTGAATTTGATATTTTGGTGGGGACTCAGAGTCGCATACAAAAGCAAAATATGTTATTAAAAGCTGCCTAAATTTATGCAAAGTGTCCATATGAAATTCTGTGATGATCAGAGGTATGCCTTGTTTGCACATCTGAACGGTGGGTTTACAGGATGATATAGATCCAGTCTTTAAGATGTTCTGCCTAAAATTTCCGGAATCTCCACCAACACTTGTTAGTTATTAATTTGTCAACCAAAAGGAGGAGAGCTTTCATCCACACTGCAAATAATTTTAAAATATGATGTCTCAATTAAAAGTAACCTTAAAACTCTAAAGTTTTCTTAGAAACTGGATTTAAATAAATTCCGGTAAATCCTCTTGAGTCTCAAAAATTAATAATCTGTTAGTTGTGGAAGTTCGGATTGGCCCAGCAACTTGGATATGGCTACGCTAGGACCAATGACAGCCTATAAGTGCTTTCATCATTAATCTTTACTATTCTTCAGCACCTATCAAGCCTGAGTTTGCATTTTTGATAATCTCCCAGAATACCTGATTGAAAGAATTAATAATGACGGCGAAATTTTGGTTGACGAAGAGATCCTAGTCTTAGAATGCATAATTTTCATACTCATTGCCTGACGGCAGCGTCGCTGGAGTATCTTTCTTGAAGAAATAATAGGCTTATGTCCTGAATTGGCTCTGCCTATCCTCATTTTTTATTTCTTATTTATATGCCTTCTACAATATCAAGAATCGTAACTGTATTTTCTCTCAGAAATTCATTCTATTTTATATTATAAAGTTGGGATGAAACCCTTTCTGGACATCAGAGACTTCAGAATTACCCTATTTATTGATATCTCCAAGTTTTGGTGCACTCAAATCCAGCAGGCTAGCAGCTCCTTAGGTTTATAATTTGATATACTGACACAGTAAACCTTTTTCAGGCAGATTCTTAATTTGAATATTTCTGAAAACTTCCTGGCTGAGCTACAAAGACTGCTCACAAATAAAATATGAAAATTCAAATGAAAAGAGGTTGAGGGTACCCTATTAACTGAAAATAGGCTCTAAGCTGAAAAATTTGCATTAATCCAGGAGTTGACAGTTTCATAAAATTGACGTTATATGCCCTTATGTGAAAATCAGTGATATAGTGGAACCAAATAAAGCAGGCCTGCTGCTATAAAACAATTGCTTTGAGAGCAACCTCACGATAAAGTTATTAAGCGAGCGTGTGAAGGCTCGCGAGGAAGCATGGCTTGGCTTACCACTAATGGAAAAGTCTAAAGATATGGGCTGAAGTATGCTATTTAAAAAGTTAAAATTTGCTCTTAATAATATTAAAAATGAATTTTCCAAACAATACTGATAATCCTAATTTTACCCCCCTCTCGATGTGGGACTACTCTGATGTTATTCAGGAGCTCAGTTCAGTCTACTGAATGAGCCAATTGAATGAGAGAGGGAAAGAGACTAAAGATTACTGACTATGAGTTTCTCATGAAGATCTTAGCTCTCCTTCTCTTCAATATCAAGAAATCGATTTCCATCAAAAATTATCTGACATGGGAGATTTTAAGAAGAAATTTTGATTAAGCACCTCCCAGTGTCAAGCCATGCCAGAGATAAGATATGAAATGAAGGATGAGAAGTCAGCCTCTACAAAGAATAAGAACTTATCTCAAAAGCTTGACATCAAACAAAAGCTCATCAGCTTGAGATGGCGTATCCTCAATCAATATGTCTCAGTATTTGTTTCTTCAAAGAAGAAAGCAAAGAGTGTGACCAAAAAGAATCTCAAAAGGAGATCTAAATATATCGGGGTATCTAAGAACAATGCTAACTGGCAAGCCCTTATCAATGTCAACCAGATCAAGAAGTACATTGGTACCTTCACCGATGAGCTCCAGGCAGCTAGAGCATACGACTTATACTCAGTAGCAATGAAGGGTGAAGAAGCCTCTCTAAATTTCGACTACACTCCTTCAGATATGCTGGAAAGGATACAGTATTTCCTTGAGTACGATTATATAAAATATGATTAATAACTTTCCTTTCACCACAAAATATGGGCAATGAGTAGATTTCAATTTATGTACAAAATTTGGGGTTTTGGGGTTTTGGGGTTTTGGGGTTTTGGGGTTTTGGGG